CTGCATTATCATTATAATTTCATGACTGACATAAAGATGAATATAATCCAGGCTGGATTGAAAATTAAAACATTTTCATTGACTCTAGAAGTTCTTTTTTTTTTGTAATTTTATAAGAAATTTAAACATTTTTGTAGGGCCCTAGAAGTATCATGGCCCTTTGGCATTGTGCCCACAGTGCCTAATGGATAAGTTGATTCTGACCAGGGCACTCTGGTGTAATGTTACAAGAAAGAAAATTTGGATGTAAACAAGCCAAGTGCATAGGAGGAGCCGCTGAAACTCCCACTACAAAACAAAACTAGAATGGGAGCAACCATGGTTAATAAATTTGTGAAGATTACTTTCCATTTCATTTTCCCTCCTAAATATTTGCTTTTTACTAACCCACTGTTTATAAAATAGCAGGGAAAAGAGCCAGGGCTGTATCCTGAAAGGAAAGAGGGATAAAGGAATGTAACGGAAAGAGGATGAAAAGGGGCGGACAGCAAAGCAAAAAAAACAAAAAGAACAAAAAAATAAATTGGGCCTGGCCAATTTTTCCCCTTAAAAGAACTTAATGGAAAAGGGGGAAAAAAAAAAAAACCCACAGCCGTGGAGTCAATTCCGACTCATAGTGACCCCATTGGCTTTAAATCTCTATGGAAGCAGATTGCCACGTCCTCCTGCTGTGGAGCCATCGGTGGTTTCGAACTGCCGGCCTTTCACTTAGCAGTCAATCACTTTAACCACTGCGCCACCAGGGTGGGTTGACAATTTGAGAATAATACAATTTAATTCACCAAATTTTCAATATAAAGTTCTCAATTTTAAAATAAAAATATCTCCTACTTTGTTAAAGGAAAATTATGAAGCTACACTTACAATACTTTAAAAATTAAGAATAATCATCGACATTTTTATGTCTTTATTATTTCAAAGCGTATGTACGTACGTATTGTATTTAACTGTTTGTTCCTTAGGAAATCAAATGTGTGAGGTGACATATACACAGTAACTGAGATTAAGTGAGGACCAGTGTGGTGAAATGACTTGTCTAAAAACACTCAGCCTGGTGGACTTGTTTACCGGTGCCAGTTCCCATCATGGAAACCTATGTAAATTTGAAACAATGAAAAGGTTGCTCTTCCTTATGTGTAGTATAGATAATTCATGGGTCTATTTACCCCAAGATATACTATAGGAGAAATGTTTTAAAAAAACTTTAAAAATTGTTCAGAGAAATTTGGGAGTAATAGTTATAAATTTTTAATAATGAAAGTAATCTACTTCTGGAAACATCTCTAATCTTTGAGGCAATCATGAATGAATGCCATAGAGACCTCCACAATATATTCATTGAATTCATTGCTAGAAACAGAGTAAACACCTTGGTGAATCCTGCAACAGCATAGGTAGCAGAGAGAGTGCTTTGGGGCTCTGGTTTTCTGAAGGGGGGAACAACCATAATATTTAGATTTGCTTACTACTGAGAACACCCTTGGGGAATCTTGATTATTTCTCAGCTAGTCTTTATCTCTTTTTTCCCCTTCAATTCCTTGTTTTCCAATTCCAGTCCCCACATTCCTCAACGGCTCACTCACCCACAATGTCTTCACCTCCACAGGCGCTCATCATGGTAGTCAGGACAAGGACCCGCAGAATCAGAGCTTCATTTAGGATCATCTTCTCAGCAGCTGCCGTTCAGAGTTGTGGAACAATGGTGAGGACTAAGCCTAGAAGGAAATCTAAAGACACTTAAACCAAAACCTGCCTGATCAGGTTTAGCCAATCAGAAACATCCCCTGTGGTGAC